GTGCCTTACTAGTAGTAACAATGTTCGCTACTAGGAACAAGTGCCACGATATAGCCAGCTGGACCAGCCCTAGGTTTTGACTGTGAGAGTGGCTGCGGAGCTCTCTCTCAAGTTCGCTTGGCTACTGATTGTTCGCATTGGGAAACCATGCTTCAGGCGCGAACTCGAGTTCCTTGGTTCCGTTCAATTCTCATCCGAAGGGCCTGGTACAAGCCGTATGCACTGCAAGCCGCATGCCAGGTACCGGTTTTCAATGCCAGTTACTCTTCTCCTCTTTCAACTGCAAGACGTATTGGAGGAACCTGCCTAAGAGTGCCACTGTGTTTTCACATGAAAGGAACAGTTCTTAAAGTCCCGGTTTAAGTTGTACAATGTTGCATGGTCGCACCTCCTTGGTTTGAATTTGTAGTACAAAGGGGGTTGATGTGATAAACAGAAACTGCAAAGAAAAGAGTTTGCTCCATATTACATCTTGTTCACAACACATGTTCGGTAAATGTGTGCCTGTTGTAAGCCCCAGAGCAAAGAGTAGCCATTGAATTGTAGTAGCAGTAGCCGCAACACAAAACAGGCCTTTTCCTGGCTGACCTGGATGCGTCAGCAATGCCTGCCGGGCAGTCGGTGCATGTGTGCATAGGGGCGGAGGACAGACACATTGAGATCAGAGCGAGAGAGGGGAGAGAAAATGTTCAGCAAGGAAACAACAGGAAGAAGATGGAAGAAGGATAAGGTCTAGAATACCTCAGCTCCATGATGCTGTATGCGTTTTTACTCTGAATGATGAGCAAAAGTCGAACTTGATGCAGCAGGGAGACAAACGACAACCGCAGGACATGCCTGTTGGTAAGAGCGGCTTGTCAAGGGCCTTAGTAAAAAATGTGTTGGGTTTGTCATGTCTGACATGCTTGAACTCTTTGTTCCTAGTAGCGTCCTTGCTCCTAGTAGTAAGGCCAGGAGCCCCTAGTAGCTTCTTGTTCCTAGTAGCGATGCCAGGAGCCTCTAGTAGCGCCCCTGCTCCTGTATCCTTTTGCCCTCACAGCGCGCTTTGTGGGAACGTTCGCTTGTTTTCTCGAAGGTCTGTGTTCATCTCACCTGTGAGTGCTGTCTCCACCCCCATTGTTTTCAATGTCTGGCTCTCAACTCACTCGTCACAAAGCACCGTCACAAAGTGCGTAAACTTGTGGTTGAATAGGAATCTGTGTGTGTACTTAGGCTGCAGCTGAATCATTGGAATTGAATTGCTCTGCTTGTAGCACCACATCAGAGGCGTAAGCAGCGTGGGAAAACAAGACTGGATTGAAAACGCATTGTCACATTCTGCGACTAATGTTCATGTTCTAAAACGTTAAAGACAAAATGTTTTTCCTGTTTCTCCACGTTCCTGCCTTAGCTGCGCTCATCTTGAGCAGGTTTTCCTCGCCAAGAACTGCCATGCAAATGCTTCCAGCCCCAGGATAGATAGGGCAGAGCCCTTATACTTCTTCAAAGGGTGTGTATGATTTCAGAAGTATCAAGAGGAATGTCGGTACCGCAGGTGTTTGGGCAACATCATGTAAAGGGAGATGGATGTTACAAAAAGCCTTGTATTGTGTGGCCTTTGCTAAACAGCGCGTTCACTCCGGTTTTCGCTAAAGAGGTTGGAGGCCATCGCTAGTAGGTCGGAGGCCATTGCCAATAGTAACTCAAATTGAAGATTGTTTTTCTTGTTATAGTTATGAATTGGTCTGCATACTTGTGCCATTTACCTCGCATGTTTCAGCACAATGATTTGCACCTTGTGTGCACGGTGCGGCGAGGACACCCGCAGCTCAGTTAACACCCTTTGCAGGTAGGGAAATGCTATGAAATGATGTTTCGACCTGCTCTGAAGTTTTGCAGTTGCGATTCTGCTTTTTTCAACGTGAAAGCAAGAATGACTGGTCTAGATCCGAAGGATTCCTAAGGTATTTTGACCGTGGAGTGTTAAAACACCTCAACACCCGAAAGGCCATCACAAACTCTCATCTAAGCTGCAACATCCATAAACATCGCCCCGCAATGTAACAGCAAGTGCAAGATCAATTTAGCAATAGTCAGTGTAAAGCATGCAAGCCCTCCATTCACGATGAACCAGGTCAACAAAGAAGCAAAAAGGATAGCCACAAGCTAAGTGCCAGTCAGGCTTGCATCGTCACATAAGTTTTGGGGCTCCGCTCCAACGAAAGAGGGGTTCACCTGTAGACGACGCTTGGACTACATACTATATGATACTCGGGGAAGAAAGCAACGACCGAATCTACGACAGTGGCGTGTCGTGGGCGAGGAGTGAAGTAAAACAAACGGAGAAACTGGAAGAGGTGAGAACTGGTGAGACGTCCTTGCTCCTAGTAGCGATGCCCTTTGTTCCTAGTAGCTTCTTGTTACTAGTAGCGAGGCCAGGAGCCCCCAGTAGCGTCCGATCGCTCCTAGTAGCGATGGGGAAACAATTGCCTAAAACCTCTCGCCACGTTCACATCAGCTGGTTTTTTGCTAGGTTCTGCCGGCACAATTTCGCACAGAGGTTCACATTCTTGCACGCCTGGCGTGCCCTAAAGAGAGCGCACGCCAGAAGGAAAGTGAGTAATATATAATTGGTTCGTTTGGGGATAAAGTCGAGTTCCGCAACTGCGCAGGATTCCGCAACTAGGATTCCGCAACTGTTTGGTCGGATTCCGCAACTGGGATTCCGCAACTGGGATTCCGAAACTAGGATTCCGCAACTAGGATTCCGCAACTAGAGTTCCGCAACTAGGATTCCGCAACTAGGATTCCGAAACTAGGATTCCGCAACTGTCAAGATTCCGCAACTAGGATTCCCCAACTAGGATTCTGCAACTGGGATTCCGCAACTGGCGTTCCGCAACTAGGATTCCGCAACATTGTGGACTCCCTCACTAGGATTCCGCAACTTTGTGAATGATGAGGGATGTCGAGATCACACGATGGGGACAAGGGGGGGTTGGGGGTTGGGTGGGGGGCTAATGACGTTGGTTTGGATGTGCTTCGAAGGTGATGTCACAGGCACACACGCTATCGCATGATGTGGAGATCACCAGTTGCAAGTTTCAGAAGGCAATTTGCAGAATCTGACTTTCCAGTTTCAGAATACAAGTTTCCGAATCCCAGTTTCAGAATCCTAGTTTCAGAACCCCAGTTTCAGAATCCTAGTTTCAGAACCCCAGTTTCAGAATACCAGTTTCAGAATCAAAGTTTCAGAGCCCTAGTTTCAGAACCCCAGTTTCAGAACCCTAGTTTCAGAATCCGACCGATTAGTTTCCGAATCCGGCTCTAACCTGGCGTTTGGGCTGTCAAACCAGCTGGGTTGAGCACGAACATAGGTGAACGGAGAGATGCTATTTGAATCCAAAGGGCAAGTGGAAAACACAAACGTGCCGGTCAACATGTGACTGCAGACCTACCCAATCTCGAAGCAGCGTGCGCAACTGTCAAACAAGATAACCATGAAATCATGTAGCAGGCACTAGGAGCGATCGGACGCTACTAGGAGCAAAGGGCATCGCTACTAGGAGCAAGGACGCTACTAGGAACAAAAGGCATCACTCCTAGGAGCAAGGACACTATTGGGGGCTCCTGGCCGTACTACTGGGAACAAGACGCTACTAGTAACAAGAAACACACCGTTGATCAGACTGTGCTTAGCATTCCAAGTCGCTTCGTTCCGTGTTTGCCAAGGAGTGCCCAATGCCGTGAACACACAAACACTCACGCGACTCACGCATGCGCAAATACTTTGACCCCATTACTGTACTTCATCGTGCAAGAAATTTCAGAAAGAGGTCAATCTTTTTCGGAGCATGTCGGCCATTTCTTTCTCCAATGTGTGACTTCCTAGTTTCAGTGTGAGTGGAGTTGTTTGTTTGGGTTTGGTTGTGGGTTTGGTTGGGTTGAGAAGTTGAGACGGCTTTCTGCCACACAGGTGGGTATCAATGGGCAGCTCAATTGGATACGACTTCTTTGGAGCCAGGACACAACAGAGATTAGTTTTGCATGCTAGTTGCGTCCTTGCTCCTAGTAGCGATGCCCTTTGTTCCTAGTAGGGTCCTTGCTCCTAGTAGCGATGCCCTTTGTTCCTAGTAGCTTCTTGTTACTAGTAGTAAGGCCAGGAGCTATTTGCGTCCTTGCTCCGAGTCCAAACTTTCTCAATTCAATAACAAATTACTGCATATTCTTGCTTTGCAAGGACAATCTTACCATCTTTGTGTGGATGTTGACGGCCGGCTTGGCAGGGATCAGTTTCTTCAATTTGTTAACCAACATGGGCCGAAAGTATTCAAGCGACAATATTGTTTCTTTAGCACAATGATGTAAAATGTGAAATGTTTGTATTGAACACGGACAGGTGTGTGTGTGTGTGTGCGTCAGATAAGAAAGCTAAACGAGGAAGACCGCAAGGAAGACCGCAAGTTGGATGAACAAATGTGTCAAACAGATTGAAATAACATGACAATGAAAAGCGCTTGCTTCAATAGAATTGACTGAATAGACCCACAGAAGCATTACTTCGTTATCACTTGTAGGCCCAATGATGGACTTTCCATCTGGAAGATCTTTGTGGGAGATCTATGCCTCCGCAGTTTCCAGCTTAAGAGTCTTGATTTTGTTTTCGCCATTTCTATCTAATAGCAATGGCCTCCAACCTACTAGCAATGGCCTCCAACCTGATAGCGATGGCCTCCAACCAACTAGCGATGGCCTCCAACCTAATAGCGATGGCCTCCAACCTACTAGCAATGGCCTC